CTATACTATAAGTCTGTAGCAATCAAACAGCATGGTACAGGCATAAAAATAGACATATCGATCAATGGAACAATAGAGTACAAAAATAAACCCATGTCCATATAAGCAATTAATATTTGACAGAGAGTCACGAACATAAAATAGGGTAAAAGCAGTCTCTTCAATAAATGGTGCTGGGAAAATTGGACAAATACATGCAAAAACAAAAGCAAAAACTTTCTTACACCATATACAAATTGGTAGTTACAAGATAGTCACGGGCTTGTAAAGTTCACCATAGGGAGTATAGTCAGTAATAGCTGTATGGTGCCAGGTGGGTACTTGAAATATTGAGGGCGGGGAACCACTTTGTATAGTATATGATTTCTAAGCACTATGCTATACACCTGAAAGTAATAGAAAATAATGTTGACTCTAAATTGTAGTTGAAAAATAAAACTTAGGGAAAAAGAAAAAGAAAAATTATGGACACATGCGTTATGGCCTAGAAGTAAGATCTATTATCTTGATGAATACTTCATATGTCCTTGAAAAGAATATGTATTCTGTTATTGGGTGGAAGGTTTTGTGGATGTTTTTTGGGTCAAGTTGTTTGATAGTTTTCGAGTTTTCTATGCCCATATATTTTTGTGTATGTATTTAGTGAGAATTATTATGACTTCCTACTATAATTAAGATTTGTCCTTTAGTTCTGTCAGCTTTTTCTTCATGTACTTTGAAGTTCTATTATGTGATACACATTTGGGATTGTTATGTCCCATTGATGAATTATGAAATGTCCTTTAAATCTCATAATTTTTTTTGGTTTGTTTTGAAGTTTACTTTGATAATATTATAGTGAGCCACTACAGCATTCTTTGGATTAGTGTTAGGATTTTATAACTTTTCTCATCTTTTTTTACTTTAACTCATTTTATTTTTGTGTTTAAAGTGTCTTTAGACAGTTTGTATTCATACTTTCCTTTTTTTAAAATAAAATTACTTTCTGACATTTAATTGTATTTAGGTTATTTACTTTTAATGTAATTATTGATATGGTTGAGTTTAAAATGACCACATACTGTTTGTTTTTTGTTAGTTCCATCTATTTATAGTTCTTTTGTTAAATGCCTCTTCTCCTACATTTATTAGGATGAATTTGTTTTGTAAAATGATCCTATTTTATCTGCAATTGGCTTATCTGATATACCTGTTTGTTATACTTTTTTAGAGGTTATTTCTGAGCTGTACAATACACATCTATAACTTATTGTATGCCTTCAAATAATATAATAAACCACTTCATTTATAGTATAAGTGTACTTTCATTTCTCCTGTTCTCCTTTTTGCTTCTGTTGTCATACATTTTTAAAAAAATATATTTTGTTGATTTTTTACAGAGAGGAAGGGAGAGGGATAGAGAGTTAGAACCATCGATGAGAGAGAAACATCGATCAGCTGCCTCCTGCACGCCCCCTACTGGGGATGTTTCCACAACCAAGGTACATGCCCTTGACCGGAATCGAACCTGGGACCCTTCAGTCCGCAGGCCGACGTTCTGTCCACTGAGTCAAACCGGTTAGGGCATACATTTTTATTCTATACATGTCATAAATGCCACAATACATTTTTTAAAATGTAGCCTGGCTGGCGTGGGTCAGTGGTTGAGCGTTGACCTAGGACCAGGAGGTCACAGTTTGATTCCCAGTCAGGACACATGCCTGGGTTGCAGGTTCAGTCCCCATTGTGGGGTGTCCAGAAGACAGCTGATCAATGATTCTCTCTCTTCATTGATGTTTCTATCTCTCCCGCTCCCTTCCTCTCTGAAAAAAAAAAATAAAATGAAAAAAAAATTTTTTAAAATGTAGACACTTAACTTTTTAAGAGGTTGAACAATGAGAGAAGAAATCTCTTATTTTCTCATATATTTATCAATTCTGGCAATAGTCTTTGTGTGAACACAGATTTTCATCTGGTTTTACTCATTCTGCATAAAAAAGCTTCCTTTAACATTTCTTCTAATGCAGATCTACTAGCAATGCATTGTTAGCTTTGTTGTTTGAAAAAGGGCTCAGTTCCCCTTTCCTCCCCTTTTATCCTCATTTGTGAAAGGTATTTTTACTGGATATAGAATCTTAGATTGAGAATTTTTCTTATACTTTAAAAATGTTGTTGTATTATCTTCTGACTTACATAGAGTTATGCTGTCATTTGTACTTTTGTCCCTCCATATGTAATGTGTCTTTTTCTCTAGTTCTTTGGTTCTAACCCACCCACAGCTGATTTTCAGCCATTAATTTATGATTTGCCTCTGTGTGGTTTTCTTTTATATTCTTCTTAGGATCTGTTGAGTTTCTTGGATGTATAGATTTATAGTTTTATCTTTCCCTCCCCCCCTCAACATGTTTCTTTTCCTGTATGTTCTTTAACACTTGGAACATATTTATAATAACTGTTTTAACCTCTTTGTATGATAATTTCATTATATATAATTTCTGTTTCTAATGTCTGATTATTTTCTCAGTTATGGTTGAAAAATATATTTATATTTTTCTGATTTTTTTATATGCACGGTAGTTTTTGATAAGATGTAGAGCATTCTGATTTTTACTTTTTTGTGTGTTTGATTTTTGTCTTCTTTAAACACTGTTAGACTATTTTGGTGTACAGTTAAGCTACTTGGAATCAATTAAATTCTTTGGGTGTTTGCCTTTAAACTTTGTCAGGTTAGCTCCAGAGCACCCTTTACTTAATCTGTGGCTAATTTTACCCCTATGAATACACTGCTTTTTCCCTGAGGGCTATACCCAAAGCTTTATATATTACAGGTTTCCTTCTTTGGATAGTAGGAATTTCTTAATATCATCCAAGACTGATTCCAGTTTGTTCAGGATTGTTTCCAAATGTTTTTTGTTCCTCAGTTGGGTTCTCTTTTGTTTTGCTTTTATTGTTTCTTTCATTGTTTTTGTTCTAGTATGTTTGGACAGTATTATGTTCATGGTTGTGTGGCTCTTCTCTGTCCTTTCTTTTTGCTGTGATATAATGTGGGCAACTGCCTTTTTTCCTTCTCTCTGAGACCAGCGTATTTTTTTCCCTTCAAGTCATAGTTTGAGGGACTGATTATTTTGTATTTTACCCTTTTCTGCAGTCATGGGACCATGATTATATACAACATTTTCGAGAACTCCATAACTCTGTTCTCTTTGGGAATTTTAAAAAGTGAATTGTATGACTTCTGAGGGTTAGGGGCAGCATCAGGAGTCCAGTGTGCTAAGCTTTTCCACTTTATCATTATAGTTGACTGTCTATACTTCCTGGGCTTCTTGTTTGAGAGATTATACCATCAGGTTTCAGCCAGTGTTATATTAGTACACTGGCTCTCTTGAAAACAAGAGAAACATTTTCTGATTTGTAACCTTTTTTGATTTTAGTGGTGTAAATACTCCTCCCATTGCTGTTTTCAAACTGCCAGCATAATGCCACTGAACAGAGTTGGGGATAGAATTGGAATTTATGTGCCTGTTCCAGCTCCATAAACACTGGTTATATCCTTTTCTTCTGTAGTTTTAATTCTTGAGGATATTTCTTAAGTGAAAGACTAGACTGCTTTTTATAGTTTTGTTTCTTTATTTTCATGATTCCCCCTTCATTTTACTAAGTATTGGGTGAGAAAAGTTATGTAATACAGTTTTAATACATGGTCTTATCTTCAGTGTTTTTTAACATTACTGAAATTATAAACACTGATATTTATTTAGGTATAGTTAGCACAGGAACGTAGATCTTATATAGAAGATAATAATGAAGTATACTTGATAACTCTGTGTCCCTGGGTTAAACCCTGTGAATTATGTTCTATTTCAGTTATAAAGATTCAGAAATCATTACTCAGGTCCTTTGCCAGTAAAAGTAAACGTTATGTTGCTTGAGAAATTTCTTTGTGTGTGGGACAGAGAAAAGATGACTTTGTTTAATAACTCTCCCAGTTTTGTTCCACCCATGCAAATAATTGAGCTTTTATCACATGTGCTTCAATGGCACAGCAGTAGTTATTGTTCTAAGTTATCAGAAGTGGCAAAATGCTTTATCTGACTGTGAGAGTGTCAAAATACTTACAAACCCACAACCTTTTTCGTATATGGGACAATGCTCCAACCAACTTAGTCATCCAGCAGGTGCCCCAACTCATTTTTTACTCTGATATCAAAACTTGACAAAGTAAGTACAAGAAAACTACAACCACTGTCTCTCATGAACATAGATAAAAATTCTAAACAGAATTATAGCAAATTGAATCCCTATGACTATGTGGGATTTATTTCAGTAATGCAAGATTGGAATAGCATTAGAAAATTAGTCAATTTGCTATATGTTTTTTTAAAATATATTTTATTGATTTTTTACAGAGAGGAAGGGAGAGGGATAAAGAGTTAGAAACATTGATGAGAGAGAAGCACCGATCAGCTGCCTCCTGCACACCCCCTACTGGGGATGTGCCTGCAACCAAGGTACATGCCCTTGACCGGAATCGAACCTGGGACCCTTTAGTCCCCAGGCCGATGCTCTATCCAGTGAGCCTAACCAGCTAGGGCAATTAAAACCCCAATATAATCATCTTAATTGATGCTGACAGAGCAGGTGACAAAAGTCAACATTTGTTCCTGATAGTTTTTATCAGCAAAATATGAAGAGAAGAAACCATTCTCAATTTGATAAAAGACATCTAAGACAAACCTATAACTAACATCCAAACTTGTGTATGGTTGAAATTTCCATTACAATGAGTTTTTAAAAAATGTACGTACATCTAAGACAGACCTATGGCTAACACCCAAATTTTTGTGTATGGTTGAAATTCCCATTACAACAAGTTTAAAAAAAAATATGTGAAAGTAAAGTATTAGGATTAGTGAGAAAATTATTTCATACATATTTGTAGATATTTGAATGATCATGGAATCATAATAGAACTAGAATAAGCCTTCAAGATGATTCTAATTCAAAGTGTTTATTTTTCATAGGTCAGTACGGAAATCCTTTAACTAAATATATTAGACATTATGAAGGATTATCTTACGATGTGGATTCATTACACCAAAAACACCAGCGTGCCAAAAGAGCAGTTTCACATGAGGACCAGTTTTTACGTCTAGATTTCCATGCCCATGGAAG